TATCTCATCGAACATGCATCGGTGCATAGTGGCAGTGGTGGGACGGGCGGCGGTAAAGGCGGCGAGGCGGCCGGTGGCGCAGCAACAACAACAAGGGCACCGTGGCGAACAGGGGCGGGCGCATTGTTGTCACCCTCGTTTGCCGGGCCTTCCGAACAACAACAAAGATAAAAGAGAGAAGAGACGCATAGCTTGACAGCGGCACGGTCAACGACGGTCGCAAAAACGCCTCAACACAGACCAGGGAGCGGCGCACACATGCAAATATATATGCCCATAAAGGAGTGGTGGTGGTGGGCAGAGGCCGCCCCCAGTGGGAGGCACACACAACACAAGTCTTCCTCCCCGTTCCCTTCATTCTCCTTCTCACCCCTCCCCAAACACACACACACACCCTCTTACACTCGGCGTGTGCGTGCACTGTGACAATGCCATTCGTTGCCATTATGGCCGCGGTCCATGCGCACTCTGCGGCTGGGGGCGGGTGGGCTATTCAAAGGGGTTGTGCTGCAGGATGGTGGTGTCGCCGGAGGAGACGCTGACGAGCGAGCCGCCTCGAATGACGCACGCCCCAAGGCGCTGCACACACTTGCTAACTCACATGGCGGAGCGAGAAGGGAAGAAAACTGCACCTCCAACCAAAAGAACCCAGAAACTCCCACACACAGCAGCAGCAGCGGCGGCAGAAGCCACTGGAAGCCCTCCTCGAGCAAGCCGTTCGACGCGGCCCGTGGCGTCCCATCTCCCCCTTTTGTTTTTCTTCCCATCTCCTTTGTTTCCGGTCGCAGTGGAGCTATGCGCACCGACGAAATGGACACACACACACGCACACGTACGATAAAGTCACACGTGCTGACGACGTCCCGAGCAGTAAATAAAGAGACGTTCTCTTCATTTTTGTTTGTTTGTGTTCACGGCACAGTCCACTCCAGCGAACGTGAGAATTGTTCGTGGTTGGCAAAAGGAAGGCCCTGCTAGTTCTTTTCGGGGTGGTGTTGTTCCATTTGATGCACGGGAATAGATTTGAGCAGCCACGTCTGATCCTCCTCGAAGGGTGTCTGGTCCTTCTTGTCAGGGACCTGCTGCATGGGCCAGTAGTGCCTGCTCACATTGTACAGCGGCGTGGGCTCAGCCGAGTGTGGGGTCGGTCGCTTCCTGCAAAATACGGTTGAAAGACCCAGTGTGGGCGCAAGTTTGGAAGTTTGAGCTCATTGGGCTCCGCTGCGCGACCGTCGCCCAGTGAGGCATGAAAGAGGCCACGCGGCGTGGGCTGCAGGGAGACGCAGGGAACAGCGCCAAGACGGTGGCCGCTGAGCTCTCCTACGGGTGCCGGGAGGTGAGGGCACTAGACCACGGATCGCCACCACTCTTTCAGTGACGAGATGCAGCTTCGCCTCCAACAGGGCATCTTCCGGCAGACTGCTTATCGGAATTCCCGCAGTAGGCGTGCACGCTTTGTGTTGCACCTAGTGGAGTGCAGGGTGAGACGCCGGGAAGGAGCCCCAATGCCACACCCCGACGCCGTGTACACGGCCCTCGCCCGGGGCAGGGCAAGGCATAACCCGCGCAGGGTTTCCCTCTTCCGCCTCAAAACACGAAATCGCTGCCAAGCGAGCAGGCGTTGGCTCGCTGCCCGAT